AGTGGGATTTTTGCTCCTTTTGTTTAATTTAAAAATGTTTTCAACATGTCATCTGTACCATAAATATGTAATTTTAAAAATCCTTAACTACAGGTGGGGGTGTAGTACAGTGGTAGAGCACATGTTTAGCATGCATGAGTTCCTGGGTTCAACCTCTAGCATCACAAAAATTAAATAAACTTAGGATAAAAACTGTCAGGCTCTGTTATCTTTGTCTTTCAGGTAAACTACCAAGAATTTCTACATTCCACATAAGGAAAGTAATGTCATGGCCCTTCTAACAGAAAGTCAAATATAGTTCTTAAAATTCTTTCAATTGTATCAGAGCCTAACAGAAGAGAAGAATTAGAGGGGAAAACAATGTAAACAGCTATCACTCATTACAATGCTTTATAATCTCATAATTGCTTGACTCTTCTATAGCACAGACAATCTAAGGAAGTAGTCTAAGTACAAAGAAAGCCTCATTAAACATAAATCCCACATTCCATCCACCACTTCTTTACATATCCAGTTCCTTTACCTTCTATCCATAGAAACAGACCACAAAGACAGTGTTTCCACACAGCCCTACAAGTGCTCACCTTGGTGACCTTAGAGAAACATGCAGTTGTGATAACATTAACAGTTTTGGCATCATTCCTGGGGGGAGACAATGAATGTTTTGAAGTAGACTTTCATTGTATTGTATTTCACAGTACAGACAATGGCACAAAAGAAAAAACATAAAAAATACTTCTGACATTCGAATTTTCAACTCTAAAATTTTTAAATCATGGTTTGCATCCAGGTGGTGGTGCACACCCATAAATCTCAGGTACTTGGGAGAATGAGGCAAGAGGATCAAAAGTTCATGGATAGGGGCTGGGGTTGTGGCTCAGTGGTAGAGTACTTGCCTAGCATGTGTGAGGCACTGGGTTCCATTCTCAGCACCACTTAAATAAATAAATAAAGGTATTGTATCCATCTTCAACTAAATATATTTAAAAAAAAAAAAAAAGTTCAAGGATAGCCTGGGCAACTCAAAGGACACCATGTCTCAAAACAAAATTTTTAAATAGGCTGGGGGTATAGTTCAGTGGTGGAGAATTTACTGAGCATGTGCAAGGCCCTGGCTTCAATCCCCAGTGCCAAAAAATGTCATGGATTCCTAAATTAGTCAACCACAAGTAAAACATTTAATTTTGCCCACTCTTAAGACAGAAAATTTGCAACAAGTAAGGTGAAGTATTTGAAGTATTTTAATGACACAGAATCTACTTAAAGTAAGTGGAGAAAAAACCCCAACAACCCAGAAGAAAAAACCTGTAATAGAGCAAAAATCCAACCATAGTTAAATATGCATGTTACATAAATACCCAAAAGAAATATAAAATACTAACAGTTAATCATGTTTGGGTGGTGGGATTTTTATGAAAAAAATAAAAAACAACAACAGGGCTGGGGTTGTGGCTCAGCAGTAGAGCGCTCGCCTCGCACGTGCAAGACCCTGGGTTCGATCCTCAGTACCACATACAAAAATAAACAAGTGAAATAAAGTTGTATCCAACTACAACTTAAAAAAAAAAAAAAAAAAAAAACTTTTCTAGTTTCTCCAAATGTTCCAAAAAAGGAAGAAAAAAAAAATAAAGTTCATCAATAACAAAAAGCAGAAGACATGAGTTGGGGCATTATATCAACAAAACAAAGTATATGAAATACAGTATTTCACATGTGCAGTAGTAACTGACTTGGAAATCTTTAGAATGGCAAAGGAAGTAGGGCAGATTTTGAGGTCAGAAGACCTGGGTTTCAATTTCAACTCTTCTTCTTAATACCTAAACTCTTACTCTATTACCTTCCATTTCATTACCTATAAAATGGAGCTAGTTCCATACAGGCTGCCTTTGTTCTTAGGATGTTCTTAAGGGTAAATGAAGTAATCAAGAAACAGTAGTCAATGTTATCTAGTCATTTGGATTGCCTCCATATTCTTACTTCTAACTTAGTTTATGATAGATATATATCGAAGAGCACATGATGAAAAGTATTTGTGTATGTGCTCTGTATTAATTATGAGTGAAAAAAAGAATCTACTTCTTAAAAGACAAAGTCATATATCTATTACCAGATATTCCTTCTGTAGAGTTCTATCATCACATCCAAAGATATCTTGGCTGCAGTTGCATTGCTATCTCTTAACATGGTATACATAAAATTCTGCAAAACCTGAAGAGAAAGAGAAAGAAGTCTTAATACATTGATGGTACAATGCTACAAACATGGACAATAAAAAGGTACTTACTACATTCACTTTATTGTTCTTGTGTTTTGCATTTATATTCTTGATATCAGTTACAATATGCGTGTATAAAGTCTGAGGAAAAGAAACAAAAACATACATTAAACCTAACCAACATTTCTAACCTATTAAATTTGGATAAAAATACAAATAAGAATAACTTAATTTTACCTATTTTCATTATATCATAAAAGATACAAAAAATAAAAGCAAGCAAATTTA